TACTAAGCGAATAAAGATCTTTGAAATGCAGGATGTTCCTCCTTTTTCACTTATTGTGATCATTCAATGAATAATATTTTGAAATGGTAAATTGTACATCGGATTTGAGGAAGCCCAAAGGTTATCTTATGGATATGAATATTGCCGGGCTGATCATTCACATCCGTACTTACACGGGTGTTTTTGGGGGGGCCGGCCACAAAGCCTGCTGGTGTGACCTGATGGTGAAACGGGGATGATGGGTCACAGCCTATAAAAAGGGTATAATAAACGGCTCTTGTGGGCCTGGCGTGGGACAGACAGGAGTGCTGGGAGGCCGCACTTGCAGAGAGGCAGACCCAGATGGCGCTGTGGCACTCAGGCTCCTTTGAGTGCCATGTGGTTGCTCCAGAAAAACACCACAAGACAAAGATCCTTAGTCTCATCACGGATCCCATAAACAGATGTCAAGAGGGAGAAGCACTCTTCTGGTAATCAGAACAAGGAGGTTGGTAGCAGCTGCTTTTTGTCCACAAACTATACAGGAGGCAGTGTTTATAGCAAGGAGTAACAGCGAAATCCGTGACAGTGACCAGCATAAGCGATTAGGGGATGGATGGATGGATGGATGGATGGATGGAGGGGTAGCTCAATGTGAGCAGCAATCACACCAGCAAGCCACCACAGACCTGAGCACGTTGATGATCGGCCACCACGATGCTCTTAGTTCTTTCTCGCGTCATACAAACATGCTACTTCACCAGTTCAGCCACTGAGGTTTCAGAGAGATCGCTTTGCTGAATGTCCATCCTCAGCACTCTGAGATTGTGTGCCATCAACTAACTGCTCTTTGACGCGCATTAAGAATGAAGAATGAACCCTAAAAACCTCTAGGGACAGGTTTACTTCAATTTGCCAGATGAAAATGAGTCAGAATGAGTCTGTTCCAAAACTGTTAAATGCAAAAATGTACCTTTGGAAAGCAGCACGTAGCCAGCTTGATTGTCCTGGCTTTATTCCGTAGAGCATGTTTTGCAGGAATTCATGGCTGGAATACATTTAGACTGAGCGGTGTGTGATGTAAATGATGCCTGTCTCTCCCTCGCTTTCAGAAATAACAAAGAAAACCTCAAGGGAAGATCCCCGCTGTACTTCTGATAATGGCAGGAGACAGCAAGGTGGGCAGGGAAAAACAACACGTTTCACGGCGGCAGAGATTCAACCAATGCGAATGAAAGTCATCCTAACTTCCAGCACTTACGGACAGCAAATGAGCTGGTTTGAGCAGTTACACGGGAAAGCGACATACCCCTCACCAATCTATACAAGGGAGCATTTGCCTTTTTTATGTATCTCACTGAATGATGGGGAATTTGTTTTTAAATAAAGAATTAATACAAAACTTTACTTTATACATTGCCTTAGCTTTCTGTATGTTTTCCGATAAAACTTATTTATTCAGATCTCAGAGTAACAATACAGTATATCACCAAACTTCACCAATTATAAGTCAGAAGTAGTTTTGCCAAGTAATGACATGGTTTCTTCCGTGCCACAGCCAGCTAGCTAACACTAACGGCTAATGCTAATGTCTAACAGCTAATGCTAAGAGCTACGCAGATAAGGGAGTGTCACCCAGCATCCTGCCTTTTACTTTCTTAAGATTACAGTCAAATGCATCTAGACCCACACAGCCAAATCTCTGAATGGTTGTCAATAATAATAATAATTATTTCCACCAAATGGTTAGCGCGTGTTTTTGTGTGGTGCAGCATGGAATGTTCAGCTCAACGGTCCAGCCTCACTTTTTGTTGCTCATTCTTTCTCATACAGGATTATTTCAGCACCACTTGCATACACATTTTGCCTTATAAGTAACGCTAGACAAAAGGGTCGTAAATGACAAACGACTGAGTGAAGCCCATGACTTTATTACCTCAGCCGGCCTGGCCTGTTTTGCGTTTGGTGGTTCCCCAAGTGGACATTTACTGGCCTGAATTTTTTAATCTGTGGACTCATCTGGTTAGCTTTTTGGCACAGTGCCCTCTCCATTACACATTCAAAACAGATTTAAGCCCCCCCGCGGATGCATGACGGTTCCTAAAAAGGCTCTGAGTGCCAGCGATTTGCACCCAGCGCCTCGTGCGGCTCCCTCGTGATGTCAGCCAGAGGAAAACGACCTCCCAAATACCGGCCTGTCTGAGACCTGGGTGTTCCTGCTTATCAGCTTAAGCTGGCCAGATGTGCAAGGACCACCTGGAGCCGAGAGACACCAACAGGATGGAGTCGGGATCGTCAACTCAACACTGACCCCTGGCGCTGGCCCGTCTGCCAAGCAGCTATTTGACTCGATATGTCAGAAAAGGATGTCAGGAGCCAACCGCACTGGACCGATGACAGAGTGCAAAACACGTGGATCTATAGCCAGGAGACAGTGATTAACTGGATCTTTCTGGCAACAGCACATACATGATGAGCCTGGATTAGGGTAAAAATTGGTTATTGTGATAAGGTAAATGCTGCAACCCAGCCTGCGTCATTGTCACATGCTGTTTGCTGCTATTCATGCCAGAATTACAGCAAAATGTAGCACATTCATTAATACACTGTATTTAAACATGACCAATTATTTATAGAGCATTATTGAACTGAATATCCTGTAGTTCATGAATTAAAAGCATTATTGTTGATCTCAAACTGTTTAAATGATTTTTAAAGGGGCATTTTTCTTTTCAGATCTAGTTTTCACAGGCTGTCGCTGATGCAGGCTCTACTCTATCTCTCTCTCTCTCTCTCTCTCTCTCAATCTATTCATCTAATCTCATCATGTCCATGTTTTCAAACACAAGCCTAAGGATCACAGCTCTACAGTCATTAACTGTGAAGGTTGCCAAACCTCTGCACAGGTGGCAGTGAAGTTACTCCACAAAAGATGGTCACAAAGCACCAGCACAGGTGGCAGTGAAGTAACGCTACTGAACAAGGCAACAAAACACCTGCACTGCTGGCAGTGAAGTTACTTTACTAAAGGTTGAAAAACACCTGCGCAGGTGGCAGTGAAGTTACTCCACTGAAGAAGGTCGCCAAAACCTGCCTAGGTGGCAGTGAAGTTATCCCACTGAAGGTCACCAAACACCTGCACAGATGTCTGCACTTCCGTCCCATAAAAACCTCCCGTTCTCATCAACTGCCCATCTTGCTTCCAACAATTATGTTGTCCTCCTGAGAGCTTTCAGTCCACACCCCCCCCCCTCCCCAATCCAGCTGCCCTTCAGCAAATATGCAATTTTCCATGTCAAGTATATTAAGAATATCTATTGTCTGGGGGGAGCAGGCATCCATAGAGAAACAGCAGAAACTAACACAAAGTCAAAATCGGTGGTAAAAGAGAAGGTGGATTTCTCAGCAGTGTCTGAAACTAATCAGAGCGACAGGAGTTTATTTTGTTTCTGTGTCATCTCCCCAGATTTCATCCATCCATCCATTTTCCAGCTGGGGTTTATTTATTATCTGTAACATAAAAGCAGACTAAAAGCACAAGACTGGCACAACGCACTATTATCTATATATAAACTATGCAGCTGTTAAAAATGCCTAAATCGCTGGTTGAAAAACTATAAAGTATTCCTAAAATAGAGAAGATTCTGGAAGCTCCACTTGCATGTTACATTGTGCTCTTGGTGCTGCCTCAGCTATTGTTATATTCATACTGTTCAGAATATGCTCCGGAAACATAAACACATTGAGGTGTGATTTAGAGCAGATCAAGCCTGAATCTCTGAGCACTTGCTGTCAGATGAAGCCTGCTTCTCTGAGCTCTAGGAATTTGGGATAGTTATCACCGCAATCAAACAGGGATATTGATATGAGAATATAGAAATGCCCTTTTAATTGTAAGCCAAACACTCGCCATCCGTTGGGATGGTGCACTCCTCCAGTGCATATGACACCCAGTTCCTACTTTAAATCAAATTAAGCAAAAGAAAAGAAAAGAAAAAAACACTGAGCAGCCCTCAAATGAGACGGGAGACTCCTTGAATATGTTAGTCGGGGTTTTTGAACAGGGGTGGGGGCTGGGGTGGGGGCAACAGCTTGGAAGCTTCCCTGTGGGACAACAACGCCGGCAATCTGCAGCTGGCGCCGGGGATTGTCAGCTACAAATATTCACATATTTAATTATGGAAAAGTCCCCTCACTTTCAAAGTCACTGGCTCTCAATTCTGCCTCTGGATTTCTGCAGATTTGTCCATCAAGTCTGCGTAAGGTGGAACGATGTAGAAAAACAGGAGATGAACAAGAATGCCCGGCATGTAATTACCAGGGAGCAGAGCTTGCTGCCACGTCAGCTGAGATCTAACATTAACTGAGCGTTAAATATGAATCGTTAAATATGAATCATTAAATAATGTTTCCCTCCACCTGGGCCCAAATCTGCAAAACAGCCTGTAAAATGCACGGCACAGTCATCAGCAAACCAAATCCATTCATAGCACTATAAATATCAAATCATTACATACTCCCTGTGCTTCAATGATGGCTGTGATTTTTGTTGCAAATTAAATCAGTCCCTGTTCCTGCTATTTTATACGAATATATATCATATGAACCTGTCCAGGCAGTGCTATGAAACCTGAGGACAGACGCATCACCTTCTGAATTAGACTGAGTACTGGTCAACGGCTATGTAAGGGATAATGTACAGGCAGCCGGTAGTTATCGCAGAAATAAGCCCCGACAGTGTGATCAGGACCCGACGCGAA